GCTCAAGGCTTCGTCGTGACGCCGGTTTTTCCTGTCTTTTTCTTCCAGTCTTCTCGTCGATCATTTTTCTTCCTTTCGTCGCCGCTATGTTCAATTATATTCTATATTCGATTCTTTTTTGAGGTTAGATCAATTTTTTTTAACAGCATAATAGCAAATACATTCGACATCGTATTAATATTTTTATTCGCACACTTTTAAACAGAGAAATTCAATTTTCTGGATTATTCGAAAATATCAAATATTCATTGCAATTGAATATCTCTTACCAAAGAAACAAGTGAGACAGAGAGAGAGAGAGAGAGAAATTCTATCATTTGTCTGGTAAAAGCGGGTGGAAGAATAAGTATGAGAAACAAGTGGAGCAAGTGGAGTAACATTGGGAACAGAGAATCGGAAGGAGGATAAGGAAGATAATTTGCGTATAAGTGGAAACTGGCCACGCGATTTGAATAAAAGGACAACATAAAACTGGGAACGAGAAAGGACAGGCCGGTGAAAGACAGTCCCGCTCGTGGAAATGGCGAACGATTAGATACGGTTTTCATGTACCGCCACTCCGGATGATGGACGTTGCTGTTTATTCCACCGACTGGATTATCGTGAATTTCCATGGAGAGAAAAATAACCGTGGACGCGTATCGCCAACGTTATTCGTTAACTTGTCCGATATGAAAATAGTTATTTCTTTCGGTTTATTTCGACGACACACCCGACAAATCTACGGAGCTGTTTTGAATAATCCAAGTAGCGGGAAAATACAAAATACGGATTTTCACGGAATATATCGTGTTTTCGAAATTTCTATCGAATTATTCCTTATTTTTCCTCGATGTGATGTGATTTAATTTTTTAATCTGAAATATGAAGGAATTCTTCAAATCAAGAGGATATCGATGGAAAATTCAATGTTTAGGATTAAATGGAAAATGGAAGTTGAACAAAGATTTTGCTTTATTCTACGAATATCATAATTCTACGAATATTTTGAGCTTCTTTTCTACGTGTCCTAATTTTGTGTCTATTGATAATTGCATTTAAATTTTTAATTTAACGTTCGTTTTCATTTAACGCAATTTGTTATCGAGTGGCTAAATCGATCCAAGATCAAAAGAATCGAGTCAACTGGCCAACACGATAATCATTATGATCGGAGGCAATCTTGCAGAAAATGATCATCGTAACGAGCCGCTTCCTTCGATCACGGTAGCCGAGTTGAACAAGCGCATTATCGATCTCTTATGCTACCTATTGAAAATAATCACGTCACAACCTGTCATCGACGTGGAAACTTTTTCACTCGTTGCCGTTCCAAATTTTTCTATACGATATTACATCATGTTTAATTATCGATTAACAAACATTTTGCTACATAATAAAATTCGTTCATTTTAAGAAAAATAAAAAATTGAAAAAAATTAAATATATATATTTAAATACAATTTGAAAAAAAAAAAACACAGAAATATATCGAAACTTTCAAGATCTTAATTCATAATACTGGTCTCAATTACTCTAAATAATACGATTTGAAAAAGACGAAAGTCTTTGTTGAAATATCGAGACGACCTTCAATATTCAATAATCATGATAGCGCAACCCATATATATATTTTGTATTTCGAATATGGATGGAGGAAATCCGAATGGAACGATTTGGATGGAGTTGGACAGATCGAGGCGTCAGCATGACGGAGATGCGACACGAAAGACGCGATTTTTCTGGGAAAAACGTTTGCGTAACCGAGCCACAGACGCGCGTACACATAATCCGTGGATGTTACAGGCTCTCTTACGTATCCAACCGGGCGGCGAAACAAAAATGTCGACGAAAACGACTCGATCGACTCGAGTAAATCCACCCTGTCTGGAACGCTGTCACGAAGGGATGAACACGAGTAACGGAAGACGAAGAAGAAGAAGAAGAAGAAGAAGAAAAGAGTTTCGAGGCAACCGTTACTGGAAACGAACGCTGAATTATTCATAGGGAATCTGTTGCTTTTATTTCGACCTCCATCCCGTACGTTCTTTGTACTTTGAATTTGTTTAGGGGGGGAAAAAATCGGATGGAAAACGATCCGACGAAAATTGTGCGTGTAAAACGTTGATTTCGCGTTGGGATTTCGATCAAGGAGGGGTCAATCGAATCGTTGGAAGAACGAATTGTGAAGAGAATTCGATCTTTCAATCGCGATAAAGTGAATTTTTAATTATCGAGAATATAAAATGATGTCGAAAAATTGTTAAATTAAAGATTTTTAAAAATCTTAAAAAAGAAACAAATGTTTAAACCTTTTTTGGAAGCGTATTATTATTGTTCTCTTTATTGAGTCATCAATGGCGCAATTTCATTCGCTCCATCTATTTTTTTTCTACGGAATATTAAGCGTATTATATCGATTATTATAATCGTTGGATCCGTCTACTTTTTTTCCTGAACACCGGTTCATTCCACCAAGAGGTTCTAAGTATGGACGAAACGCGATCCTCCGGGGTATAACCGGGCCAACGTGGTGTACGGGGCAGAGAATGGGATTTTAATCAGGACGATATACGACAGCCGGTTGAGACGAAAGAGAGACTAAACTATCCGACGTTATTAATTCCTCGAGAAGGATCGAGCCATTTGGTGATTGACGTCGCGTGACCACGAGTTACGTAATTCAGCATCGAATCCTCCAGGGTTGCGAGCAGGATAATAGGCATCCGGAAGCCAAGGACAAGATCGGATAGAGAAAAAGTCGTCAAGATTTTTTTTCTTTTTTTCCAATCTCCTTCTTCCATCCATTTTTCTCAAATTTTTCAACGACGCCCCAATCATCGCCATTCTTAATACATATATCCTCCCCCTCTCCTATGATTACATCAACACTTCGATATTTCAATTATCCAATTATTCACGGATAAAAATATCCTCGACAAATAATCTAAAATAACGACGTTACAATTCACCATTATTTCTTCCACTACTTAATTTCGCTCGCCACTACTCAAAATACTTTTAATAAATCTTTTGGCACGTTTAAAAAAATATATATAAATTATTATATCGAATACCTGTTCGGTCGTAAGGTGCAGCTCTTCTAGGCGCTGGCTGCCCCCTAACCGGATGGAATTGCTGCTGTTGGTGCAAGGGTGGCGTCTGGGCGGGTTGCAGCTGCAGATGATACTGCTGGGAGGTGGAATAATGGGCGGATGGGTTGGCGGTGGATGCCGCCACCGATTGTTGCTGATACTGACCTGCCTGCTGATACTGATTGATGTGATTCGGATGATGGAAGTGATGGGGGTGGGGGTGGGTGTGCGGCTGCCCCGCGCCCGCCCCGTG